TGAATTATCACGACAAGTTATCAACCATAAAGTTTAGCCCACTAATAAAAACCAACTTACTATCTTATCAACAGTAATGTTAGCCAAATACATCATAAAAAGTTCCAACAATTCAACTTAACAAAGTTTCTCAATCAAAATAAAAAATATATATATTTCGGGGCCGGGGTCGGGGACGGGGCCGGGGACCCGAAGGGTATTCCCATCCCCGCCCCCATCCCCGTTTTTAAATTTGGGGATTCCCAATCCCCGTCCCCGTCCCCGGTCAACTCGGGGATTCCCCGGTCAAATCGGGTACGGGTATCGGATTCCTCATCGGGTGCGGGTTTTTTTGCCATCCCTATTTACATTTGATCGGCCGCTATATATATTTAAACGATAATGCATTTATTTCGAAAGTAATATATTATGTATCTTATGTTTTTCAACACTATATATTAATTACTATTTATCTTTGTGCTAAACTAATATAAATTATTCAGTTACATTTAATAATATTTTAGTTATTTGATTATAAATATAAAACATATAATTTTAAAAATGTGTACAAATTGTAAATATTAACTTATTAAAAAAAATATAATCCTGTAGATGTCTTCTGTTTTTGACAGTAGAGATGGGTGTGAACATAGCTGAGATTTAGGGATTAATTTCAAGCATCAAACTTTTCTATCTATAGAATTAGTGTGCAAATTACTTATATATCTGATTGTAATTTTGTGGATCAAAGGTTCGTAAAGTTGTCCAATGTGTTTTTAGCTGATTTCTCTGTTTCAAAAGACTTTTCCTGTTTTTTGGTTGATTTTGAGATTTTTTTTTTGTTTTTTGGTTGATTTCGAGATTTTTTTTTTCCATTTTTTGTTTGATGTTTCTTATATTTTCTAATATTCCGGAGCATCCTTGAACGTTTAGTGGACGCACCTTGCATGCCTAAAAAAAATTCTATACATAGGTCCGCCCCTGACATATGCCTTTTTAAATATCATCGATCATCCTCTATTATCGTCATTAAATTGCGGACTTGGGTTATTGCGGATCAATGACTATTTTTGTAAAAGTGGGAGAGAAATGGCTAAGAGATGAAACCACACCGTTAAAATGACTATTTTAATTAATTTCCCTTGAACAAGTTGTTTAAAAACGGAAATTGAACTTATTAAAAAACATAATTTTCTAAAACACAATGATTGTCCTTAAAGTTAACTAGAAAGGTACCCGCATAATGCAGCGAGATACATCTTGAGTTTAATGTTTCATTATATTCTTTGTCTCTGTTGATATAATACATTTTTATGTGGTTTTGAGAAAGTAACAATATTTTTATTTTGAATAAAATATAAATTTGTAGATATTATAAATATTTAAAAAATATATATTCATATTAGTATCAAATTAACTATTTAAAATATTTTTTTGTGTAATTTCTTTAATTCAATTTTTTTATATAATTTAATTTAGGTGTAACAACAAAGTAATTTATTTTTAATTAAATAATATAATTTTTTATAAAGATAATAATTAAGTATTCTGTTAGAACTCAATGATTATCCTAATTATATTTTAAATTTTTTATATTTAAAATGAGTTATTTATCATGTATTTGATTATGTTTATTTGCATTTAGTTACACACATTCAAACATAGAGCTTCAATAAGTTGTACTTACACACAATTTATTTATAATATTAAATTTTAAATAATATGCTGAATAAACAGTATTTCATGCATAAAAAATAGTTTCTAAATTTTTTTAATTAAATACTTTATAATATAGTATAGATTATATTCTTCAATTTTAATATTATAATCGTTAGTTATGGTATAATGTCTATAAATACAAAAACACAATCGACGTAAATTTTAACTTACTGAAACACAAAATCTTCTAGTTATCATCTTCAATTTCAATAGCATTTTTGTATGTAGGAAACTTTAAATCTTAGGGCCCGTTTACTAAACATTTATTCAGTAAGAACTTACTGGATAATTTTCTTTACCGGATGAACATGACAAGAGTCAAAATCTTACCCGGTAAGAGCAATGATAAAAATGAAAAGTCTTACTCGGTAAGTGAATGTGATGACTCTTACCCGGGTAAATGCTTATCGGATAAATTGTTGCATACAATATCATTTTGATGTACAATCTTACGAGGTAAAATAAATTACAATGTTAACTCGTAATGATAAGAGCTTACCGGGTAAGCATTTAAGTAAACGGCCCCTTAGTGATTTGTATCTTGTATCCAATCGTAGCTATTCAAATAATCTTCAAGGTTTTTAATAAGAAATTTTATTAATTTTTGTTTTCGTTTTGAATCATATGAGTACACAACTACCAGGAATTTTAACATATTTTCTATAAATTTTTCAAAATAAAATAGAAAAATTTAAAATATCTAAAAACAATTACATTCAATTTCAACAATTTTTTATTATTTTAAAATTTCAAATATTTATTAAATTGTTAAAGTATTCATAGAGTTTTATTATCTCATCAAATTTTCTAATAAACTTGATATGAAATAACAACAGCTTCAAAGTTAATGTTAAAAGACGTTAAACTCCAACGATTTATTTTATTTTAAAAATTTTAAGTTTTCAAAATTAATTGTAGTTTTAGAATATTAAATAAAATTAGGTGCCGTTTACCTAAATGCTTACTCAGTAAGCACTTATTGTTAGAAGTCAACAATATAATTTATTTTACGGGGTAAGATTGTAGTACATTAAAATAATATTGCTTTTATGTTCATCAAATAAGAAAAATTACTCGATAAACACTTACCAGATAAGGATTTAATAAACAGGCTCTTAGCGTCCCCAATAATTTTCTCAAAAACTTTGTATGAAATGATTAGGCATTCAACAAAACACCATCTCTCCCTGTAGAGATTTGTCTAAATTTAATGATTTTTGTTCTCTCATACAATAAATACAGAATCAGAAATATCTAAGTATCCTAATAAAATCCTTTATAACACAAAAAATAAAATATCTAATCTAAAAACATTGTAATATATTTATTTATTTGAGATTATTAAACATTTTAGCAATTTTTAGGATATTTTTAAAAAAAAATGAGTACAAATTTATTGTAACATTTTTAGATATGACACTTTGTTAGGATACTTAACAGCTTATTCTAAAATAAAAGATCCCATCAAACAGAAACAGAGATAGCTTAACAAAAGGAGACCATTTATATAATATTTTCATTGTAAGAGGCCGAGTTTAGTAGGAACTGTATAACTCATCAATGCATGAAGTTTAAACATGAATACCAAACGCTCACTTTCCACATGTATGGCTCATCTACAACTATACATACATGGTTCATGTCAATCTTACATGATATACCATATACATGTATACATAATACACATACATATAGAGGTGGAAATAAATTAAAACACAAGTAATATTGCTGCTTAAGGGCAATTTACCAACCCTTGTTGGGTAAGGGCTTACCGGGTATGAGTCATCACCCTCACCTTACCAGATAAAATTGTTGGTGAACACCATCAAGAAGATGACCAGGTCAATAAATGCTGACCCAGTAACATCATCACCCTCAGTTACCAGGTAAGATTCTTGGTCAGTAAAATGATACCGTAAGGCTGTTGATAAATACCATCATCTTTGACCGGGTAAGTGCAGTAAATGTTTAGTTACCCTGTAAGAGGCAGTTAGTGTTTAGTAAAGAACCCCTTGGCTTCAAAAGATTTGAGTATTAGTCATTTGCTGAATCTCCAGACTCTAATGTACCCATCAGCATGCACGGTGACAACCTTCTGCATCCCCACAGCTAAGCAATTGATGGACGGTCTCGAAGTTCTTGGCATCAAATCGATACGTGCATCTTCCGAAACTCGTATGCCTTTTTTCCTTGTAACAGTTAAATGAGGACTTTGTGAACGATACAATTTTCTGCTACTTTCATCCATTATGCAACCTGACAAGATATTGCCATTTTGCTGGTCCACAAGGCGCAGCACACCATCTAGTCCTCCCATGGCTAATATTGAGATGTCATCCCGCATGTGTTGTATTGAACATAGGAGATTTGGACTTACTCGCACCTCCCATAATCGTCTCATCATCCTGAAGATCACGAGATAAAAATATGGTTATTTATGCAAAGTAGCTGCAATTCGCCAAGAGGCCATTGGTCGTACCAGGTAACCCCACCTTCTAGGAGGTCAGGGGTTCAAGACTCATCAAATGTGAGAACCCAGAAGTGTGTAAGTTTGGTTTGCCGTATATAAACAATTATATACATAAAAAAGGTAGCTGCAATTGTGAAGTTGATGCGCAGCAAAATGGGCTCCAATATTTAACTCCTATGAAACTCGAAACTCCTTATGACATCAGGCAGAGCCTAAAGTGCAGGAGTTCTATGAGAAAAGAGCAATGGCACAAAACAATGTAAACCAAACCAAACCAGACTCACCAAATAAATCCCACTTGAATGTCGGGTATAGGGTAGAAATTAGTAATTTCATGTAATTACTATAATTGAATAATTGATGGAGGTATTTAAATTGTTCAAATGATTTTAATGGTTTATTTAAATACACTTAAATTTTTTGTTGTTTATGTAATTTGAAGTTGTGAGATTGTTCATGGATGGTGATGTACTTTGTACACTTTGGGTGTCAATGGAGCAGGGTAAATACAACATCACAGTCGATTAGTCAGCTACCAAGTCCTAATTGGAACATCTGCTAGCTACCTATTCATGTTCCACTGGTATGTCTCGTAGATACTACCTCTAGCAGGCTTCCTGAAGGTTCTTAGGATGATCCATGTACTATGCACACTTGAAGCAAGTAGTAGATGAGCCCTAAGAATGTTTCCTACCCGTCTTTAAACAAATTACATGTTCTAGCATCCATCGAAGGTTGCCACTTGCCACCACCAATCAATGGCACAATTCGCCGTTGTCTTAAGACATCCACAGAGTACCTCCATTTAGCCGACATGCTATTCTGCAAGATGTCTACAAACCCTAGATCATCACAAATCTTCTGCAAGAGCAGCATGGTACGGGTCTAGTAGAGGATCCTAGAGAGGGTAAGGTACAACAATGTCAAGGAGTTACCTAGTCACCAAGGTATTTGGGAGGGAATCTGCCATAAGAGACTTGCAAGGGATAGTTTTTTAGATGAGCTTGGACGCATCAAATAAACTTCTTGTTAGAGGTCCCTTAGTTTAGCAAGTGGAACACAACACAAGCAACTTCTATTCTATCGTGGGTTCAATTCATTGTGTCCATCATTTTCTAGATTTCTTGAGAGAGATTCGCTTATTCTGTTATCTTTGTACACCCAAGAAATTATTGTGCTTGTATCAGAGTGAATTTTTCATCCTAGGAATCAGGGTGTGATCCATGTCTCCCTGTATATGCCGTGTTAAAACGGCTACAATACATTTCCAACATTCTTAACCTTTGGGATCCCTTTCCTGGCCGTATAGAACGATCGAGTGTAATTCAAGTACGTTGTTGAATGTCTTCATGGTGGTCTTGATTTTACTTGAGAAGATGAAAACATGTACTTCCAACCATTTATGCATTAGTAGACTCAAAAAATCCACTTCTCAAAGAGAGTCCCCACATTAACACCAAACTTGATGCCCATGCACCCATATGTTTTGGGCAATATAAACATATTGTCTTGTCACTTTCCGTCACAACGACATACAATGTGTTTTTCAGGAACTTGAAACCGCGTCAACCCATTCTTTCTTTCAGAAATGCAGGATTTCTAAAACGATCGACCTGGATTGTACCAGCTGTGTGCTTCATCTCTACCCTATATCTAAGTGATGTAGCACTTCATAACATTCACAATGGACCAGCTTCTCAATCATTTGAGAAACCAAATAAACTTTAGTCAGGATCAGTTTAGTTTTCAGTATACATTGCAATTCTTGTTTAACTGGCAAAATATATATACTAATCATATCCATGAATCCATCTTGAAGTGTGTCTAGTTAAATGGCTCATCCATAAATTGGATCCTTGCTTTCTTGAAAGTTGAAACTATTGCATATATACATATATACGTACATATATGTAAATATGTTAGGATAGAAACTTCCTCTTACTAATGGTATCATATTGAGGCTATACATCAATGATCATACCTTAGGTCCCAAGAAGATGCCCGCCCAGCTCTTGACCCAGTGAATAATATATGTGAACGTGAGTTGTAACACAAAGTGCTCAAATCTGTTAAAAAAGACAAGTTAAAATCAAAATATAAGCATCAAAGATGCTTTTTGAGCTACATGAATAGACAAAGCAGTATTCTAAAATGCAAAGTTGTGTCAGGATGTTAGTATATCCATATACCAGGATCATCTCTTTAACAAGGAGAGATGATCAAAGCAAGAAAGCAACATGTACTATGGTAACAAATAATACCCCTCAAACTGAAAAACTTATTGAGGACTCTTAAAACAGTATTTACCGCTTCCTCCACAAGAAACTTTCACAATCTATCTAGAAAACTTTCATCAACCACATAGAACAAAACTGCAATTATTATGGCAGAAATAAAATGAAATATCCCCAAATGTGTGTTACAGCCAAAACATACTACAACCAACCTGCAGAATCATTGGTCTTAAGTCTTGCTACTTGCTGATCAGATGAAAGATCTGATATAGATATACGGCCAAAAGAGGAACCACCAATAAGCATCTGGTCGTCACTGAAAGATAAGCATGTAATAGGTCCATCATGCATCCTGCAATATGTCATGACAAAAACCTTCAAATTTATGCATCATCGAAACATTGACCAACCCAACTATTCCATGTGAAAGCCCTGGTCAATAAATCCTTCCTTAATGACAACATATATGATACCTACAGTGGAGAAGTAAACTCCCCATGCCTCCAGCAACAGCAAACTTAAATGGTTGTGTACAGGAGATCAGCTATTTGAGAACGCCATTTTGAGGATCACATATGATCCCTACAGCGGCACATTGGGAATGTTTAATAGATATGACTCAACTCAAGGAGTGTTGGACGAGGCACTTGTGTCTTCATTAGTCTCATATTTATTTATGTTTTCCATGAATATTTACTAGTCTTCACCTGTAGAGCCCTATAGTAGAGCCCTATCATAGAGCCCTATCATACTTTATACTTCACCTTAATTTCATGAAACAAACATATTTCACTTTGTTGAACTTTCTAATATCAACTATCAAGTTCTATCAAATTGGTTTTGAGCTGAAAACCAGAAACTGGCAAATTGCATAGATACAGAAAAAAGCAAGTACATAGAAATATTGCAATGAAATCACAATATCCTGAGGAGATCAATATATTGATATCAAATCAAAATCTCAAGGACTATTCAAAACTTCATGAGTAGAAGAATGTCATGTCGTTATTATGTAACATTGTTGGCAATTAGAGGAAGAATCAAACACAAACCATGACAAAACTAAACTCTCAGGAACCCGAGACATTGATGTTTGCAAGTTGCAAGCAATGGTCAGACGTGGTAGTTGAAGCTCACAAGGGAACTCGATTCAATGCATAAGACGCAATTTTACACATGCAATGGTTAGTTGGTGGCCACAACTTAGCAGGGGGCTAGCATCTTGGTCATCAAAGTCTTAGGTACCATGTAAACATTTTAAGGTTGAAAAATGTATTGATCACAAGAATATATATATGATGTAAACCAAAAAGGCTAGAACAAACAGCTAAATAAGACCCTAATCTCCTAACAGAACACGATATATTTGCAGTTATATGAGAATATAATAGCAAGACGATGCTGATGCAGTACATACTTTATGATTCTAGACCATTTCCTGCCATACATGTCAAATACACGAGCTCTGCCATCCTCGCATCCAACAACAGCCTCTGGATCTACATAGCTGCAATCAAATGAGAGGATATGCTCTCTTAGATAACAAATGTTGTAAGCATATACAGAAGGATTTTAAAATAACATGCAGTTGAACAAATGGAAATCTGAAACAGAAATGAAGATAAAATGCAATTGACAAACTATCCTTCATTATTCAAAGAAGGCATTGAATTCATGACATATCTTTGGTTGGGTAGAATAACTCAATTGGGATTTCCCATTCTAATTAGTTGCACCAAGGGGATGAGAAAACAACTTACCACATGCAAGCACCTCTAGGAAATTGACAACCTTGTGAGGAAAATATATTTTTCCTCTCATTGCGCCTCCATAGACATATGTGACTTCCTACTAATCCAACAACCTACGAACATGCATCCAAAAGTTCACCAATGTCAGAAAGCATGTAGACGATTCTAAAAAAAGTATTGCTTGTACTGTATGAAAAGTTGATAGCTGATAAAGTGAAGAATTTAAAGCCAACAAAATTGTCCTGATCCATAATCAATGGTAAACAGACGACCATAAAAGACTTATGAAAAAAAAAGCATGATTAGCATTCCATGTGTAGTTCATGTCTGGTGTAAGTTGTCATAGGTTCTACATATGCAACCTTAGTTACAAACAGGGTAACAGTTATTAACAAAAACAATGTCTATGATTATAGACATGAATCTCTAGTTTCTTCCAAATTACTATGACCAGAGCCTATCTTAAAATATAAAAACAACATAACATCTTTCTTTCCCACCTCTCCCACCCCACCCAAAGAAAAGCCAAAGGGATATATCTTGTTGCCCTCTAGTATAAAGAACAGACAAACAAGTTGTTGGAAGAATGTTTCAGAAGCTTCATAATACATGGAAGCTGAGTCATGCAGCATAGAAGATGAAGGTTAAATAATAGTAATATCAGCATCTGATGGACTGCAGGTATTCTGAAGTCTCAAGGAATGCTAATGCCTTAAATTATCAAATATCAATGGCTTTTAGAAGCGTTGATGTTAATCCCAGACTGATCCAATAACGCATCAAATAAGGGTGGATATTTCCTTGCTGCAACTGTTTTGTCACACTCCAGTTTATCAGCAAATTTGGTACTATAATTGGGGCAGTGAAAAAGGCTCAAATGTAACATGCATTGGTACCTCAGTACATCTAGATAGAGTGATCTTAGCTTGGTCTCTCTTCCTAGTAGATTTCTCATATTTCCTAGTGCACCAATTGTAAGATTATTGATATATCAAATCAATAGCCAGGTTAGTGATGACCGACTTTAGAGTAATTTCCTCAACTCAGTTCTATTATTACAATAAATGTTATAGAGGTCAAGAAACTCTACATTGTGAGAACTTCATAATTAAGGCCTTGTAGACTGATTTTGTAGAAATGCATGTATGGCAATGTGGGTAAGAATCTTCGCATGACAAACTGAAATTTTATTTTGGATGAGTTATCAAAGGAAGACTTATGTTGGGTTGCCACCAATGCTTGGTCTCAAACCTGTGAACTTTGTATCACTGATCATGGATTATTTGCTTTTTTATCTCAAGTTCAGATATGATGTGGCTTGGTGAGGATACAGAACTTGCATAAGGCAATCAAATTCCTCTGTATAAAACCTGCCATACATTTATCCAAATCTGCATAAAGCTTAAAAGGTCCCCTTGGCAACAGGATGTAATGAAATTATTTTGAGTTTGACCACTCTAAATCTTAACCGCTACAAACTTCCAAACTCCATAATCAATATAGAAAATGACTTTTATTACATTTCAACAAAGCAACAGAAAGGGAAGTTACAGAAAAATTTATCATATCTAAATAAGACCAGAAAAGCATAAACTTGATCTCAAATTTGAAAGCAACCAACAGGAAATTACCTTGCTCTCGTCAAAATTGAAGTCGATCAGAGATCCCGTATGTGGAAGGTGATACTCAGCCAAACATCTGTAGCTTTCTACAGACCACAGACGCATCACCTAGCAAAGTTGAAGGACCATGATGTTTAATAGAAGGAATACACAGTGCAATCTAATGTAATATAAGAAAATGTAAAATTGGTATATAGAAACTAAAACATGAGAAAAAGGGGCAGTCCAAAAGAATGTAGCCATGTGCATTTTGCATGCATCAAACAAAGTTTACCACACTATGAAGATATTTCAATAAAAGAATAGAGCCAAAATAGCCATCTAGTGAGCTAACCTACAACATAAAACATATTACATGCATGCCTTTGAATAGGAGTTGCATACTCCAGCCTTCTATGCTGTTAATTGCTTGCGGCGATATCTCCGGTAGCGGTCCTACGCAAAATAATGGTGGTCAAATTGCGGTAGCGCAATTATCAGCACAAGTTACCACAATTTTGACCGATATTTACAGTAAATTGCATTCGATACTAACGTTAGTTTTTGGGGGTTTGGGCTTCATTTTCGGTCTTGGGCTTTAGACAACCACGACTTCTAGCTTCTGTTAACGTTAGTCAAGGTTTTTTTAGGGCTTTAAGAACTATATTTCTCACTTAGACGACCACGACTTCTATCTTTAGACGATCTGATCTCATCGACAAGAAGTAAACGGGAGCGCTATTGGGATGATGATGATGATGATCACACTAGAAATGAAGGGGGAGAAGGGGAAGAGTGGGAAGCTAGCCTAAACGAAGAAGTGAACGTATTAGATGATGTGGACTCAGATGTTGAACCTATTACTTGCGATTAGCTCGTTTATTAACACTTTTCCTATTTTGCAAATGATATGTTTATGTAGGCATATTATATATATATATATATATATATATATATATATATAATTCTAAGAAATATTATATGAACCGCTATTTTTGGACCGCTATAACCGCTATTTCAAATATCGGTCCCGGCCACAATTTTGTATTTTCACCGCAATAACAGCATAGCCAGCCTTTGATGAATTTAAGCAGCCAAAACATGAATTTTAGCATATTATTTCTCCTTCTCAAGAATTACAAAAGAATCTCATTTCGTTGACATCTTAACAAGAGTAGAAGTTGCATTCAAAATTTCTACCAATAGACTCACTCTGTGCCAGCAAGCATAAACTTGTGATCCATTTACTGCATTTCATGTAATGAACATTCTCTAGAACATAAAACAATATTGATGCCAATGTCGGGTCACTTGTCTCCAAGATTGAAGATGAGGCAGCTCTGTCACACTCAATTTCATGACCATACAAGTATATATAAGATGAAATCATGGAATCACAGATTTAAAGCCCTAGAATTTGAGTAACTGACATCACTTAAATATGCTCACAAGCAAAATAACTCTATCAAGAAATAAAAAGCATATTTCTTTATTTACTTCCTTGTAGCAATTAAACAAGAAAAACCTAGACTGCGTCAAGGATGATGCATATGATTCCATCATTGTGCAAAATATTTACTCTACCTTGCTGCTTCCACCAGTGAGGACTAGTCCCATCTTCATTTTGCACTTGTCAATCCTAGAAACAAAATGTAAAAAGTAAAAAACCCCTTCAGAACAAAAAAAAAAAAAAATTAATCACACATAAACAGTCGAAAACCGTACAAATAAGTTCAGACATGCACAAATTCAGTCCACAAAATTAAAATACATTAGTGAACAAACTTGATTAAATTGAAGATCCTCGATCTTACCCTCTTAAAGAGTAATTGCATGAAAACTCCCTTGAAATGCACTCAAAAAGACACCTTACCGGCAAATTAAAACAAAGACCTCATGAAAACCATCAAAGGCTATAGTCCATATATCTACACATTAAAAAAATATATTCTCTTGAAAGCAGTAAAGGAAGCCCAGAAAATCCACAGGCTGGCAGGAGTGCAATAGAATCCATTAACTTAATAATCCATATATCTACGACTTATTATGTCATAGGCTGTAAGATATTTTCCCCCTTATTAACTATAATAACTGATACGCAAGGTAAATACATAAGATATCTTTCTTTAGTATTTCCTTTTATGGTTTACTTTTGGCCTATTGACACATTATATACTTTGTAGTCTCTTTCTCTCAATAATGAATTGCTTTTTTGGGTTCCTTTATATGAAAACCCCTAGCTCCAACATATTTGACAACCCTCACTAGCTACCACAATGTTCCACGTGATTCATACTCTCACCATCTCACATAGTACATAGATAGTTACCATGAGTAATAGAACAATCATATTCATGCACTTTCAAAACCTATGTATGTTATGAATGATTCTGATAGGATTCATACACGTCTATATACAACAAATCGTTTTAGCTTTAGAAATTTTACAACCTTTCAGGTTTATTCTTTTCAGTTTTCTATCTTTGAAACATCCTTCTGTAATTATTCTTTTGCTACAATCACACAAAGACCAGTGCAGTTTTGCTACTCTTTCACGAAACACTTGTACCATCTGATGATTACTACCAATCAAGAGGTTGGGTGATCCAACAGAAACCACATGAGGTGAAGTCAGGTTTACAAAAACAAACATACTAACAAATATGCTCAAATTGTTCTCTTTATTTATCTATAGATAAACTTGGTAATTTGTGTGTTGTATATATGTGAATCACGATTACAATCAGGGATATGTATAAGAGATACGTTTACACTCTAGACCCTCTAATATAATTATGTATATATATCACTTAATTGTCTAATATTCCCCCGCAAGCTAAGGCCGGGGAGCAACCTGTAGCTTGGACCGTAATAGGAGAAACCGTTGTGAAGGTAGCAGCTTGGTGACACGTCTGCAATTTGATCATTTGTAGATATAAACTGAACTGAAAGCTTCCGTTGCACAACCATTTCTCGAACAAAGTGAAAGTCAACTTCTACAGTCTTGGTACGGGCATGAAAGACAGGGTTAGCTGAAAGATACGTAGCACCAAGATTATCACACCATAAGGTAGGAACCAACTTCACAGGAACCCGGAGTTCTCGCAGCAGTGTTTGGAGCTATGTGAGCTCAGCAACAGTATCGGCTAGAGCCTTGTATTCAGACTCTGTTGATGACTGAGAGACAGTCCTTTGTTTTCATGCAGACCATGATACCATGTTTGAACCAAGATTGATAGTAGGGATGGTGATTTGCCCCGACCCGGTGGGGAACCCGGTTCACCCGACCCGAACGGGGACGGGGATTCCCCGCTAAAACGGGTCCCGGGGCCGGGGATCCCCGGTAGACTCAAACCGGGGACGGGGCTGGGGACGGGGAATGTTACTCAAAACAGGGCCGGGGATCCCCGGTATAATCAAACTAAAGCATACTTTTTACCGGATTTTGACCGGGGTTTACCGGGTTTTGACCGGGGATTGCTAGAATTTGACCGGGGGACGAGATGATAATCCCCGTACCCGCCGGGGACCGGGGCCGGGGCCGGGAGACGGTATTACAAACTGGGGCCGGGGATTACAAAACCCGCCCCATCCCCGCCCCGTTGCCATGCCTAATTGATAGCATATCCCCCAGTGGATCRACGATCGTCGGGGCAACCAGCCCAGTCAGCATTGGAGAAGCCAGTCAGGGAGTTGTAGGCAGAATTAGTGTAGGCATGAAAGGATTGTGCCTGAATCATGCATAATTAGTAAACCATAGTCAGCAGTGCCCTGCAAGTTATGAAGAATTCGTTTGACTGCCGTCCAATGATTTTCAGTGGGAGTGCATAAATTGGCAGACTTTGCTGACCATGAAAGTAATATTCGAAGGAGACAATGTCACATACTGAAAGGCACCCACAATTTGGCGGTACTTGACCGAATCAGCAAACGTAGCACTATCACCAAGAGCAAGATTAACATTAGTGGTCATAGGAGATGAAGTCGGTTTAGCATTAGACAGGTATGTGCGTTGCAAGAGTTCAAGAATGTATTTCCATTGTGATAGAATCATACAATCGACCCATATCCTGAATAGCGAAGGATTGGCTAAGACGTTGTATCACTTTGTCAATAGCCTTCGGGTTGTTTCATGTTAAAAGAATGTCATCAACATAGACTAACATGTACAAAATGGTACCCGTGTGGAAGTAAATAAACAAGGAAGGGTCCGTTTTGGAGCCCTGAAAGCCAAGAGAATGAAGGACCGTAGAAAGTCAATGAAACCACGCTCTAGGGGTCTGCTTTAATCCATATAACGATTTGTGAAGTAGGCAAACATGATCGAGTTTGTCCGGGTCAACGAACCCTAGTTGCTGTTGCAAATAAACTGTCTTGCTGAGATCACCATGTAGGAAGGCATTTTGCACATCAAATTGCCTTAGGGACCATTTTTGTGTTGTGGCCAAAGATAAAACAACACGTATAGTGGTCGATTTGACCACGGATTGCTGTCGAAACCCTTTGCTACTAGTCGTGCCTTGTAACGTTTTATTGCCCCTGTTTGGTCCCTTTTTTAATTTGTATACCCACTTGCAATCAACTACGTTGGAATTTGGAACGCGTGGTACTAATGTCCAAGTACCATTCAAAATCAGTGCCGAATACTCGTCAGCTATGGCAATACGCCACTAAGGGTACCACTTGTTAACAATAGTAAAGGTGGTCGGTTCAGTGTCAAGTGAAGGATGATGGGTATGGTATGAGGATGCATTGTAAGGTTTGGTCTATTTGAGATTGGGGCGTAGGTTGGGTGGTCGAGTACGGGTGGGTTGTTCGGTGGTAGAGGAGGGGGGTAGGGGTAGGCTGAGGTAATGGTTCAGTGACTTTGGAACGGCGGCGGTGATAGGTGTGAATAAGGGGTGGTTGGGCCGTGGGGTGGTCATTAGGGAGGGTGGTGGTAGGTGTTGTTTCTTGTGGGACAGATTGCATAGTAGGTACTGTTGAGGGTGTCGGTTCTGGTGGAGCAAAACGTGCATTAGGTCCTGTGGAGGATGAATAGGTGGGTGGTAGGTCAGATTTGGGATAGGTGGAGACGTAAGAATTTGGAGTGGTTGGAGTAGGAGTGGGTGTAGTAGATGTTTGGAAAGGAAACAATTGTTCATTAAATCGAACATGACGGGCCACATAAAGACGATCAGACTGTGGGTCATAACACCGATAGCCATGACGAGCGGTGTTGTACCCAAGGAACACACAAGGTGTAGAGCGGAAGTCCACTTTGTGTTTATTGTATGGACGGAGATGAGGGTAGCATTGGCATCCAAAAACCCGAAGAAAGAAAAAATCGGGTTTGAGCTTGAATACATGTTCAAAGAGTGAGGTGTTTGAGTTGGTTCTGGATGACATTCGATTAATAAGATAGACTGTGGTGTCAAAAGCAAAATGCCAAAACCGTTGGGGAACATGGGATGGAGCAAGTAAAGTAAGACTAGTTTCAACAACATGTTGATGTCGTCGTTCAACAAAGCCATTTTGTTCGCTTGTATGTGGACATGAGATGCGATGGGTGATGCCGAGAGGAGAGGAATTGGGAGAGATTCCGAAGCTCGCCTCCCCAGTCAGTTTGGACAGATTTCAGTTTGGTTTGAAAATGCCTTTCAACCATAGCAAGGAATTGTTTAAAAGTGGCATAAACATCATATTTTAGTTTTAATGGAAAAATCCACATAAAATCTGGAGTAATGATCACCACATAGCAGAAAATAATTGTGACCATCAAAAGAAGAAACAGGAGCGGGGCGGGACCCCATACATCACAGAAAACTAAATCCAAAATGTGCGAACTTTTCTAAGTAGATGGTAACAAATGAAGTTTAGATGATTTGCCAACAGAACATGAATCACAAAAAGTACTAGCACACTTATTTTGTAAAGGTAAATTATATTTAGACAACATGGACTTCAAAAGCTTTGGATGTCCAAGTCTTTGGTGCCATGTGGTGGAAGAGGCACGTGCAGTATAAAATGACATTTTCTAAACAGGTTGAGGCTGAAGGGGACGGAAGGAGTAGAGACCACCATTACTTGGACCCATGAGGAGGATAGTGTGTGTAAACTTGTCCTTCACATCAAAGAAAGTACAGTGAAATTCAAAATACACATGATTATCAAAACAAAATTTTTGAAGAGAAAGTAAGTTTTGTTTTAGGTCAGGTACGTGTAGTATGTCTTTTAAGGGAAAAGGTTTTGTTTGGTGAATAAAGTTGTGAGGAACCATTGTGTAGAATGGGTAAACCTTTACCATTGCCAACATGAAGGTTCTCCTCACCGTAGTAGGTCTAGAGTTATCGAAGCTAGATACGTCCGGTGCAACATGATGGCTAGAGAGCCGGTATCCAAAAGCCAAGCTTGTGACTGGTAATCTGTAAAGTTGGCAGAAGGTGGTTGTCTCATCCTCATAGAAGCAGGGTTGCAATTAGGGCAATGAGACGGGATATGACCAATCCTACACCACTTGCATTTTGCCAAAAACAGTGTTTTGATTAGAAGCCCAACTAAATTGATTACGGTTTCCTCCTCCTTGACTTCTGTTGTTGTAGTTTCCTCGTCCACGTCTAGAATCACGTCTACGGCCACGATTATTCCCAGATCTGTTGGTGTAAAAGGCTTGTGCAGGCTGTGCATTAACAGGTTGAACTTGAAGACCAAGTTGTGACAAAAGCTGTTGAATAGCTTGAAGTTGATCCGGTTGAGGAGTAGACGAGGAGGCACCAGGAACCGTTGAGTTGCGGTTGTTCATGACAATCGTGAATGCTTGAGGCGGAGAGATGTCAGTTGCAGATTTCTTGATCATGTAGCCATGGTCTGTAACAGGCCATGAAGTTCTGCAAAGGCAGTTGGGAATTGGCGACCAAGGAGTGGTTGACTTCAGCCCGTTGTATTCTTCTCTAAGACCCGAGATACCCAACATCACCAAATCTTTTTCTTTCATTGGTTCGCCTATATTGGCGAGAGCATTAGCATATTCCTGAGCCATGGTCAGGTAAGCGGAGGAGGTTTCATCAGGCTTCATCTCTAGTTTAAGAAGCCGAGTTTTTAGGGTTATTCCCTAGATGATGTGTGAAGACCGTAAGCACGTTCAAGAGACAACCAAAGATCACGGAAGGTAAGTCCTTGAACGTGTTGGAACGACGCCTCAGAGATTGTAGAAATAATCAGCATTCGTAAGTGTGCATCATTGGAAACTCGTGTTGTGTAGTTAGGATTTGGTTATGGTGGCGGCACTGTGGTGCCGTCGGCACCTTTTCCAGATGATGATGATGAGATAGTCATCGGTGGACAGGGAATGGTGCCATCAACATAGCCAAACAGGTTTGTAACAAGGAACGGTTGAACCATTGCCTTCCAATGGACATAGTTGTTTGGTGATAAAGTGAAGCCAAACTTGTGGGAGTTATGGGTGGTTTTCTCGGTTGGAGTGAAAGTTGCAACAGTTGTCATTGATAGACAGAAAGGTGCGGCAGCCGTAAGGTTACAGGAAGACGGGTGCGGTAGCTTTAGGGTTGCCTTGTGATGACAGAGGGTGCCTAGGGTCGACTCTGATACCAAGATAAACTTGGTAATTTGTGTGTTGTATATATGTGAATCACGATTACAATCAGAGATATATATATAAGAGATACATTTACACTCTAGACCCTCTAATATAATTATGTATATATATCACACTTAATTGTCTAATATCTATAAACATTTGTACAACAAAAAATCAACAAAATTTTAAGAAGCAATAATAAATTACCCATCAGAATGACCTTTCCATTGATAAATGTCAACGGAACCTGCATGTAAACAAGACCGATGCTGACTAATAGCTAAGTCCTCAAGTTGTCTTTTCCATATTCCTTCTGAAGAAGTAGATACTTCAAAATCAGCACCAAAAATCCCTCTTTGCTTGTGGTACAAAGTTTGGAGTAACTTTGATTTATTAATTGCATTGCTCCTTCACATTAATGAATGACACAAGAAGTTAGTAAGCCCAAGCAGAAGCATAATCGTTCGTAATAAGAGCGGCTCATTAATTGTAATCTACTGTTACCAAGTGAACATGACTTCTACTTAAGCCTAGGTATGATATCAAGGCAGGTTGACTGGACACACACAAATCCTTTAGGTAGCATTTGGTAAGCAGACAGGACCGGACAGAATTGGACAGGACAAGCGGGTAGGACTGGACGGGACTGGGTAGACCAAGTGTATGTTTGCTATTTGGTACGACTAGGACTGGACGGGAGAGAACTAAACAATTTACCCCCAAAAGTTATTTGATGATTTTAAATATTATATAACAGTTATAATTAACACAAATAAAGTAAATAATTAAATATCTTTACATACATAATGGTACCAAATTTGAATGAAAATTTTGATATGATTGATGGTAGTAGTAGTGTGGAGGTAGTGGTGGGGGTGGGGGTGGTCGATGTTAGTAGTGGCGATGCGCGGTGGTGGTTGGTGGCCGATGGTTGTTATGGAGGTAGAGGCAGTAGTTGGTGGACGACGGTGGTTATAGAGGACGTGAAGATGGTGGATTGTGGTGGTGGGGGCGGTTGACAACGGTGGAGGAGGTAGTTGTGGCTGATGTAGTGAAAATAGTGGTGGTGGTGGTGGTGGTGGTGGTGGTTATGGTAGAGGTGAGGTGGCAATGGACGGTGGTGGTCAATGGTCAACGGTTGTTGTGGAGGTCGTCGAGGAGGTTGTTGCAGCAGAAGAGTTGGAGGTGGCCAACGGTGGTAGTGATGGTGGCAATGGATGGTGGTGGTCGGTGGCCGACGGTGGTTGTAGAGGTAGCAATGGCCAGTGGTGGTCGGTGGTCGACGATGGTGTTGTGGAGGTCATGAAGGAGGTTGTTGAGGTATAGGAGGAGTTGTAAGTGGCCAACGGTGGTAGTGTTGGTGGTGAACGGTGGCAATGGTGGTTGTAAAGGTGGCAATGGACGGTAATAGTCGGTGGTAGACGGTGGTTGTGGAAGTGGTAAAAGAGGTTGTTGTATTAGAGGAGTTGGAGGTGGCAAACGGCAGTAGCGGTGGTGGCAATGGACGATGGTCGGTGATCGACTATGGTAAAGGTGGTGATGGACGGTGGTTGTGGAGGCGATAGAGGATGTTGTTGTAGTGAAGGTGGAGGTGGCCGTCGGTGACCGCCGATGGTAGCGACGGCTGAAACTAGCGACGATGACCATTAAAACAATTACCATATTAAGGTTATGTATCAAACTCGGGTAGATAAGTAATATTTTAGTTTTTGTCTCATTCTTGTCTCTTCTAGTTCCACCTATTTTGGTGGAACAAGAAAAGACCTCTTTTGTTCCATGTTGTCCCACCTTGTCCCAGTCCTTGTCCCTGTCCCATGTCATGCCAAAGTGGGACAGTGAGTTTTGTCTCATCCTGTCCCATCCCGTCCCATGTACCAAACGCAGCCTCACAGATTTTGCATGCTTCTTGGAGATTCTTTAATATCCTAGAAGTCCAAGAAACAGGCCACTGTTTCACATTCTTTAAACTGGGGTCAAGTATAGGGCTATTGTTGTTGTTACTTGTAAAATTGTATGGTTGGAGCGTCTTTTGCAAGGTTTTGGAGTTCCTAAGCATGATCCTACTTTGGTGTATCGTAACAATACTTCTGCCATACAACTTCCTTCCAATTTAACATTTCACAACCATACTAAACACATGGACCTTAATTGTTATTTTGTTTGTAACAAGGTTATAAACCGTACAATAAAGTTGATGTCTATTATTTCACTAAGCCATTGCATAGAACTAAGATGCTACCTGTTACTTCCAGAATGGCTCTTCAAGACAGCTTTACTGGTCCATCTTTTGGGGGCGGATTAGAGTTACACTAATTTAATAAACAGAACTAGTTAGTACTGGTGTTCGTTTGTTAGTTAGTGACTACTTTACATTCTATGCATAAGTATGTGCATATAATCAGATAGGAAAAGGGAAAATATGCATTTTACCTCCACATACTTTTTCTGTTTCCAATAAATTATTTTCAATTTCAAAACCAACATTCCTTATTGAGTAAAGTATGTTCAATATCTAACAAAATTTTCAACTCAAAAGATCTTCAACTACGAATGCAGCTTAGTTTAAAAAAAAATTATTTGAACATCCGAATGCTTAAAACATTATTCAAAATTGAAGAACTAAAGAGCCTTGGCCAAAACCATAACCATCAACATGGATAAAAAGACCATCTTAGCAGAAAATTTGCAAAAGGATGAATGATAATGCTTTTCTAAAGTGAAAGAGTTCCTAAATTAGCAAGTTCGACCTTGAAAGTCAAACTTAACCTTTCTATATTGGGGAACAAAGATTAACATCAAACCACACACTCAGACTGTTTCCTGACTGACAAACTGAACGCTTGAAAGTTAATACAGATAAGACATCAATGAATACGCTACAAATTTCACTTCTTGGAAATTGCGATCTGTATAGTGGGGTTTGCTTACCAGGACTTGCAGACGGCGGTGCAGCGAATTATATGGACGAAATCAAGGGACGAGAAAACGGTATGGATAATATCATCATTTAGGGCTTGAATAGTCGTCGGAGAAAAACCACCTCTCCGCTTGTTGGACGGTGGCAGTCCGGCGTTAGAGGTGCTCAGGTCCATCGACGCTTGTTGGGGTTGTATGAGAATCTCCGGACTAACAGGTTCTTATATTAGGGGCTGTTTGTTTGGGAAAAAAAAAACAAAAACCTGTTAATTATGATAAAGTATTGACAAAAATTTTTAAAAATTATTTTTTATGTATAAAATATTATTTATTGATGTATATTATTTAAAATTTAAAATTACAAGTAAATTATGTGTAAGTACAACTTATTAAAGCTTTATGTCTGAATTCGTGTAACTAACTGCAGACAAAAATAATCTTACAGAATAAACATCTCATTTTAATTATAAAATATCTAAAATATAATTAAAATAATCATTGAGTTCTAACAAAATACTTAATTATTATCTTAAATAGAATATTTTATTAAACCAAAAATAAATTAGTTCGTTTTTAAAATTCAATTAAATCATAATAACAAATTAAATTAAAGAAATTACACAAAACAATAAATTTTAAATGGTTAATTTGATATTAATATCGCTTATTTTTATCAAAATTTTATAATATCCAAATTTATATTTTATTCAAAATAAAAACATTTTTTTTCTCAAAAACATATAAAATCGTATTATAACATTGATAAACCCAAAATATAAAACAAAACATTAAGATTTATCTCGCTGCATTGTACAAGTACTCCTATAGTAAATCTATAAAAACATGTAAATTAAGATGGTACAAATAAATATAAAATAATTTTTGTAATTTTATTTTACTTCTTGTTTCTTATAAATTTTTATATAATAAGTTTAATTTTCAATTATATTATTATATTATTTGTTGAAGTTGTAGATAATTCAATATCTATACTATATTATAAAATATTTGACAAAAACTTTAAAAAAATCATTTTTATGCATGAAATACTGTTTATTGATGCATATTACTTAAAATTCAAGATTACAAGTAAATTGTGCATAAGTACAACTTATTAAAGCTTCATATTTGAATTCGTGTAGCTAACTCTAGATAAACATAATCAAATAAAGGATAAATATCTCATTTTAAATATAAAAAATCTAAAATATAATTAGGATGATAATTGAGTTCTAACAAAATACTTAATTATTATATTTATAAGAAAATTATATTACCAAATATAAATTACTTCGTTATTGAACCTAAATTAAATTATAATAAAAAATTGAATTAAAAAATTACACACAAATATAAATTTTAAATAGTTAATTTGATATTAATATCGATATATTTTTGTCAAATTTTTATGATACCTTCAAATTTATATTTTATTCCAAAATAAGAACATCATCGCTTTTTCAATATCACATAATATCATATTATAACATTGACTGAGATAAAGAATAAAATATTAAAATCAAGATATAACTCGTTGCATTGCGCGAGTACCCTTCTAGTATATGTTTTAATGCAAATTTTATCTATTAACTCCTGCTACATAAATCAATGAAACTTTTCAAACCCCCTATATCTATATATCTATATAAAGCAGAAGCATGTAACGCTCACGTGCCATCACCTCAAAACAATATTCTTACCTTCCTTTCCTCAGATTTTCTTTCCCATTAAATCCAAGTAAAACCTTCTGTTTTCCACCTTTACGTTTTCCATTCTTCTCCATGGTCAAAAACTTCTTTTGCTACATTGATAAGTTACATTTTTGTTCTTCTCCATCTCCCGATCTCAATCTGTAATTGGGTATTATTTGTAATTTCACAATAAGTTTTCCAGTCCATTATGGATCTGCTACGCATGTGTATAAACAATGATGTTTGTGTTTGATCTTTTATGTTTTTTGGGGTGGTTTTTGTTTTTGAAATTTGGAAGGTTTGTCTTCTATCTCTCCCAATCTCTTCCGCTCTAGAGAGCAGTAGAATACAAGTGATCGAAAAACAGAATGTAGGTGGCGGAGGAGGGATGATAAGGTTATCGGCGCAGAGTATGGCGCGAGGGTACGTCGGAGGAAGATAAGCGAGAAGACACAAGAGCTTGGAAAGCTGATTCCCGGCGCTGCTTTCAAGTACATCAAGTTCTTGCAGGCTCAAGTTGGTGTTCTAAAACTCATGGCTTCAATTCCGGTGAGTAATCTAATTCTAATACATGCATCTGTACCACCATTTGTTAATTAGACGAAAAAACAGTTTGAAATTTCAAAATTTCTAACGTTTTTTTCTGCATCTTTTTAGTGATGAATTATAATCTTTCTACATCGTAATTTTGTTATGTTTAGGGTTTCTTCAAGGGCTAAAGAAATAAGAGATGCAATAGATACCCAAAGAGAGGTTACCGTACAACTCATCAATTATACGAAAAGCGGTATATATAATCTAGAATTCTCAAGTTTAAAAACCATACTTGAATAATGTTCTGTGAATTAAAGATGCATTAATGGAATGCAAAAAAAATTCATCTTTTTGGTTGTGGTTTAAGTCTTAAGAAAACTTGTTTTCCTAGGCACTAGGCGATATACTTATATAGATGTTGAACTTGTTTAAATGTTACTGATCACAAGTTCCTCCATAGTCCATACCTTAGTCATAGTCAACTTTTTGATTTTCGAGAATCATATGAGTTGCCTCCATTTTATGAATGATATACTTATTGTAAATGATGCAGTTTGAAGCTCTCTTTATGAGCAACAAGCGTCTACAATTCCAAGAGTTAAGAGGCTGCAACTCGAACCTCCAAAGATTTCTCAAATTAAATCAAAAGACAGTACCATTTTATAATGGTAAGTTTTCACAATCCCTTGGTACAAAGTTTGCACTTTCCTTACAAAGTTCTACTCAAGAGTAAAGGCAACTATTATATAAAATAATGTCAAGTACCACTTACCACAACCTATGCAAGTTTGTTAATCTTAATACCATTTCTGAAGGAGGGGTTTTAAAAAAAAGATCCAACAAGATAGGTTGGTTGGTATCAATCCTAAAAGATTTTCAAGCATGATTCGGAAGAACAATGAAATGGCTTTAAATTTAATAGAAGTAGCTTTATTATGTTACATCTTAGGTATCGTTTAGCTAAACACTTACCCTGTAAGAGCTTACCTGTAAGATTTAACATTATCAAGGGTAAGATTTTAATCCGTAAAAACGCCATCGTATGCAATAATACCCGATAAGCACTAATTGGGTAAGAGTAGTCACTCTCGCTTACTAGGTAAGCCTATCGGTCATTGCCATTACTGTTACTAGGTAAGATTCTAGGTTTTTCACATATTCATCCAATAAGGTATTGTGCCTTAGTAGTGCTTATCGAAGCATTTGGTGAACACCTTCTCAAACCGGGACATGAGGTATGTGTTTAGTTTAACCCTAATTGAATGTGTATGAATTTGAGTATTGTGATTACTAATTGCTTGTAGACAGTGGATTCCAATGATCCATTGTGTTATGTCCTTAAAATGAATATTTGGAAGTAGCATTTAGTCCATTTAATTATGTTTTTTGTCTGTGTTGCTCATCAAGTAGAGAAACTTCTATGAAAGGTGGACCAGTCTCCAAAACAGTCGATGCTAGATGCACTCAAACCATCAATGAAGGCGTTGATTCAAGATGGTCTTTCAAGACATTCAGATGTCGATGTGAAGGTTGCAGTTGCTTCCTGCATCAGTGAAATAACGAGAATTACAACACCTAACGCACCATATACTAATGACCAAATGAGGGTACACCACACACAATAGTTGTTACTTCATGTCCTATATTTTTTGCCTTCACATTCTAAAACTCTTCTTCATGCACAGGAAGTCTTTCAGTTGATTGTTTCTTCCTTTGAGCATTTAGCTGACCGGTCCAGCCGATCTTATGAGAAGAGGGCCTCAATTCTTGAAACTGTTAATCCCAGATCTCTCAGTAACACTTATAATCTAGTTATGAATAACCAAATTATAATGATTTTATGAAGAAAGTTAAGAAGACTCAAAATTAATATATGAATATTAAAGAACAATTTGAGCTTCAAAGGTTTTACTTTATTGATAATAAAACATAAAACACTAAGAGGACTTTTCACGTATGCGCGCATTTTACAATAGACCTAGTCGTCTATTTATATTAGTTAGCTAATGCTAAGATAACTAACTATTACTACTTTCAAGCATATATTCTAGCTAATAGATAATGTTTATCTTTTACATGGATAATCATTGTTTACAAGATAAACTATAATTCCAGCTGTTGATTTGTCATCTCCAG